CGGGCAAATCTACAAATATTTTGATGAAAAATATAACTGCTGGTACCTGGGAAGTGTTAGTTGGTTCTCTTTTGCGCCGCTTTTTGTTTTTTTTTTTTTTTTTTGCTGGATAGAAACGCTACCGTGGGCCGCTACAAAACCGTAGGCGACCTTTGCATACTTCCGGGTTCAAAATCTCGCCGAAGACGGCATAAATATTCTTAGTAATATATATTTTCCCGAAAGATTCTTTCGATTATGCATTTCTTCACTAGAGTATCGATGTGTGGTTGTGGAAAATAGCGTTTTAGCGCTTATTTCCGAACAAAGAAAATTGTTTACACGTGCGTCAGATCGATCGTCAGCTATACCGCCGGCAGTCTCGCGCGGTGCACAAAACAAATTTTTGCGCCGCGTTTTAGGAGATAAATGCCGGAACACGAACTTTTATTATTTTAAATATACACTTTACAAATTTTTCTTTGAAAAATAGCCAAGGAGAAATCGCGAATCTAAAAATACCGCGGATTGTCCATTTTCCCGAAACCGCGAACTTTAGGCCCCGCGAATCTAAAGAGACTTACAGTAAACAAAAGAGTTACTGAATTGCACAATAACCCGCTTGTTGATCTGTGATTCAATTGTAAAAACGCTGAAAAGTGACGGATTAAAATCAAGTGCTGTTAAAGGAATGCTTTGCTATTAGAAAAAAATACCGAAACTTGTGATTAGCCCACTCGATTGTAACACTTTATCAAAGACTTGTGACATCCCTTATTATTTGAATGATTATGATATAGATATGTTAGGTTTTATTCGACATTAGGTCTTATTCAACACACTTATTATGTTTACCGAAGGAAACATATTATATTTGCTCTATTTCCTCCTCCTCTTCCGTTCCAAACACCTAAAAAACGTCCATATTTTCGTAATTAGAGCTTGGAGGAAAATGAAATTCAGCATGCTAGTAGGTTGATACGTTAGACATTGAATCTTGGTCATTTTGGCCAACATAGATGTGAAAAAATGACTTTATTTGCAAAAAAATGGGTGAAAAAAGTTGCATTTTAAGCCAAAAATCGAACAAAAAGAACGCGTTTGGAACATTCGAACAACCATGGAACAATGGAACAGCGTGTTCGATAACCGCGGTCAATGACCCTAGCGCTACGCACGGAACACCCGAGCTTTCCAAATATGGGCATCCGCCCTTGTATGACACGAGAAGAGATCGGTGGATCAATGTCAGCGGTAAGTTTTCATTTTTCTTCGTAAAATACGGTCATATGAATACCAGCATTGGGATTTTGGGTTCAATATCCACAAGTAGAACTGCAGATTTCCACAGAACGCGGGAGACTTTGTTTAACTTTTTGCATGTCACCGCCGGCTCAATAAAAAAAAAACACTCATAATTTACACTAGCTCCTGACTTGATAGAATCTCGTATGTATAGAGATTTAGGCTTGCTGCCGTTTTGAAAATAAAGTAAACAGAATTGTGTTCA